GTGCCTACTGATATCGATTACGATTAAGAGTGTGCTTCATGAAAATCAATGATCAGGATAAGATTCGGTCGCTTGCTGGGTGTACCACAGAAGGCCTTGTTTCGACTACAAATCATCATATACTGAGGTCATTGTAGTATCCTTTTGAAATCATTGAAGGTTGCGTAAGCCTTAAAAGTCTATTTTTACACCACTTAATACAACGGTACGTCTAACAGTAAGCTGTGGGACATAGGTAGCTCATACAGAGCCTTTGGAGCTGCTAACCAGCATCCATTTTAAAAGTATGTCTCCACAACTAAATAAGTGAACAGATCTGCCCACCGTAAACTAAATAACATATCACGTGATCAGGTTTGTAAAGATAAGAGTTGGTCGCAACAAAATTCAGGAAACTACATGTCACGGTTGTAGTTCGGCCTAGAATTGAAAGCTAACGTTAACTGTACTATGATTCACTGTTTGTATCAAGTAGGTAGGTTTTCCGGAAAGCTGACAGTCAAAACACTGCGTGTCATGGTCCTATGGAAACCGAAAGGTAGGATTACAACATCTTTTCCACTACGCTGTATTTTGACTTTCTCTAATATATGTGACTTGGTGCTTTAGTCCGTTTAACAAGATTCCAGTCGTGTTTGGCCTGGAACTCCTTAAGCTTGTCAAGTGTCAGATGATGTTTTCAACGAAATGCGCAAATCAAGTCAACCATGGTGTCTTCGTCGCAACACCATTTCCATGCCTTGCTAGTTAAACCGCCAGACGGTTCTTTGCGATCAAATGACGTAGTAGTCAATCCAGCACCTCAGGATAGAGTTTCACATTGGTGCTTCCGGTATTTCTCGATTACTATGAAATTTTGTTCACAGTCACACCACTCTCGTTTGAACGCCTTGCCTGGCGTTCTAGTGGAATTATTCCGGTGAGTCCACATCAAGGGAAAGCACTGGACTCGAGTTTCGCTCTTATTAGAGCTCATCAGCCAGAACAAGGTCGTCGTTCGATGAGTCGGGCTCAAGTGTGAACACGTTCGCCTGTTCAGACATGAGAATTCAGATGCGTCCAACGTGCTTTGGTGAAGTAGTGGTTACACGCCCGCCTCGCATGTCAGATGTCCGGGGCTCAAATCCCGGCACGACCATTGGATATGCACTACTGATTAGATCTAATAAGAGCGAAACTCGAGTCCAGTGCTTACTACCCCCATCTTAGTGTGCACTCACCGAAACAATCACGCCAAAACAGGAGGACGACCGTTCAAAAGAGTGTGGTGTGAATACGAACAAAATGTGAACAATGTTTCAAGTACAACAAGAAAAGTCCAAGATTATGGCACACGGGCAGACCTTAGTGAGTGTAAACTGATTCATTTGTATTTCATTTTTCACCGACAGAGCCTAGAGAATGTTCTAAAGCCCGCAAGTAAACTTCAAAATTTTGTCTAAAACGAAGCCCGATGGTTTGAGCATGATACTTTGGAGGTAAATATGTGCTTCTTGAACAGTCACTGTGGTGGGCGGTTTGTTGACGGCTGTTCAGTGTAGTCCACGCAGAGGCGTTCTTCCGTTTCTAAAACAATGAAGAACTCTCAGCATCATCACTCGCCTTCGGTCACTACCTGGGACAAATTTACACTGTCCCCTGAACCTGATAAGCCCCTCGGAGCTCCGAGATATTCTGTCAACTAGTGGGAATATGCATGTGAAAAAATAACTGTGTTAGAGTTTCAAATTAAAGCACTGTCGTTCGTTTTCTATAGGGAGGTGTTAGGTTTTTGGACAGGAAAAATTTAAATAGTGAATGAATACAAACTGAAGTACATTGGATTTTCCGCAGCTCTCTTCGTGCTGTGCGTGCCTGCACTTTCAACAGTAGCTAACCAGTAACTCGTTCAACTTTGTTCGTTCTCGTACCGAAATATGTCGTGGATAGAGACCAAGTATCATGTTGGATTACGGATATTTTGGAGGAAAACTTCATGGGTCGTCTTTTTCCAAGAAGGTATGGTGTGCTATAGAAGAGAATATTGATAGTTCAGGTAACGAGAATGGTCGTTAGGCAAGTTGATTGCAAACGTTTCATCACCAATCGAGGTGACGCCATCAGTGAGTTGTTGGGGCGCGGAGTGGAGCATAGTGATGGCAACTTCCAGAGATGCCGTATCCTAGAGGATGTAAGCTAGGTCGTGGTTAGAGGGATCTTTACCACCGAATATTCCTTCCGTGGTCACTGCCTTGGACAGTCGCTTCAATGGAATATAGACCACCGATTTGTCCTGAATCCACTTGGGCGAAATTCAAAGCAGTTGGTGCAGCAGAAGATATTCGCAGATGCTAGAGTCCTCAAAATTCCCCTTAGTCAATCGATGACACAAAATACGGCTGTCTGGTAAGTTTGTATATCATAAGTAACCTTTAAACAGCTGATATTGTTTGAATTTTTCGTGGTATTCAAGGAAAGACTGTTCTGTGTTATCAAGTATTCTACCTGATTCAGAGGATTGGATTGGTTCTTTTTTGAAAGTTAGGAGCGGTAGCTTCATTAATAAAAGTACCCACAAAAACTACGTGCAACTACGCAAACCTCTTCAAGGTCACCAGCCGGTTTCCGCTTTTCTCTAACCCTAGAAGTTGTGACTAGCGCTCCACACCAACAGACCAGCCATACGCTCCAATAACTTCTCCACAGTAACTGAAATCTGACAACTGAAAATAGAATTCCCTTCAGACGTTGCGCTGAAATGTTCTGTCTGCAACAAAAAAAACTTTTTTTCATACACCGGCCTTGTTTTTCACAGTCATTTCCCCAGCACTTGACGACGTTATCTTACCTGTCGCAGATGCCATCTGAATTACTCACAAACTATATAGACGGAATACACTACTCATAAGGTTACTGAAAATTCTCCGACAACCCAAGATCGCTTTTGACCTTCACGGGATTCATCAGGTAAGCGCAGCTACCAGTTTCTGTCAACCTTATGTTCCACTAGAACCTGAATCGGATAGATTTCGACAAATACACTTGGTTTTGCCTGAATACTCACCTGGAAACCAGCTGAATCTCTCGTTTATGACATCCTTGGGCAACTGCGCCAGGCCGCCTCATGTTTCAGCTGGCATGATACATATACAGACGTAATACACTACTCATGAGGTTGCTGAAAACTATTCGACAGCTTAATAATATCATAAACGAGAGATTACGCCGGGTTTCAGGTGAGTCTTCCATAACTGACTTTGAGTGGATTCCGTGCTCGTATTCACACCTACCTGCGAGTAGAAGCGCGTGGCCGCAAGTGTTGTATATTCGTGCGGCAACTAAATTTCGTTATTAATGAAGATCACAGATTAAATGTAAAGCGTTTACTTCTTCCAGCTTTGCCTTAACTTTCGGGAATGCGATAGAGCGTTGTTTCGGCTCTTTATTTTGTGATTACGCTCTGCTGATGGTTTGCGTCAAACAATTTGTCTTCCGGTTTGACATCTTTTTTGTGAAATACAACGACCCTGAAGTCGTATCTGCCATTGTTGAAGAGCTCCTGACGTGCGCCATCGAAACAGTCGGGGGCAGTATTGTTGTATGTTGTTATTGTGTTGTTGTTGTTATTGGACAGTATTGTTGTTGATGGACAAAGTAATAAATTTATTAAATCTATAATAAACCTATGACTCGCAATCTTCATCTGGTGAGGACCAAGCGTCTCTTAGCCTGTATTAAGAACACGTTCACTCAAAGAGACCCTTTGTCACTTAAAAACCTGCCTACAACTAATCTGACGCCTGCCTTCTCCTGAATGGGCCGTTTTCCTCCAGAGGTAACTTTTAGTAGGGCTCTTGAAGGCATTTTCTCCATCAAAGTTCCTTTTTGTACAAAGTAGCATGATACGAGTACCAGCACGCAGAGGTGACACAACTACCTTGTTGAACCTTAAAAAGTTAAAAAAGCGATCTTATTCCAAGTCTGTTGGCTGAAACGTGTTTCAAACAGTTTTGTGTAGCACGCGAAGGGATTATGATGTTAGCGAATATACACTTATTTGCAAACTAATTTGGTTTTTCGAGAGACTCACCTGGAACCCAGCTGAATCTCCTGTTTGTGATGTTTCCAGGCAACTGAGTCTGCTGAANCAAACTAATTTGGTTTTTCGAGAGACTCATCTGGAACCCAGCTGAATCTCTCGTTTGTGATGTTTCCAGGCAACTGAATGTGATGCACCAGGCCGCCTCATGTTTCAGTCGCTACGATATTCGAGACATCGCGACACATGTATACCTTTGTGATGTACTACTCATAATGTTGCTGAAAATCCGTCGACAGCCTACGACCGGATTATGATGTTTCTCAGTTTCACAGAGTGCACTGTGTGTGAACAGTTTCAGGTCAAATACTTAAATAAGTGCATACCAGGTGAACCATTAGATGTGGCAGTACCGGACTAGCTGTGAGCAGTACTAACAGAGTAGCCAAAAACGAGTATAGTACACTGTTTATTGTGTGCAAACCTAAGCGAAAAGAGCGACTTTCGAAGAATTCCATATATTCCTGGTGTTGTTTGCTACCATTGTGCTTACGCCAGATAAACTTTGCGACTTTCGAAGAATTCCATATATTCCTGGTGTTGTTTGCTACCATTGTGCTTACGCCAGTTAAACTTTCTGATAACGGATTGATAGCCTGCACGAATCGTAAAAAAACTATCTTTGTCCCTCGCGCTACTGTTCTTATGGTATCACCACAAACTGAAAACACGATCGGTGAGTAGTGATATAGGGTGTTGAGAAACTAGGCTCCGCAATGGAGAAGAACTCCGGGTTCCATTGTTCAAACAAAGATCGAACGACTCCAAATTCTGCCTAGCCAATCAGAATGTGGAACGGTTATAAGCGAATATATCTGAGTACCGACGGCACCACGCAAAGAGCGCAAAACAATACAGTCTAAAACATAATAAGAACCAAAAAAATCGTTCAGCTGTGGCATCCTTTCGGTGCTCCACTGCCATGCCACCCGAATGTGGCACAAGGGCTGGGATACTGCCTGGTTGCCCGAGCGTAGACATGGGAAGTCGAGAGGCAGAGGTCGGGTTCAACCCACAGATCTTCCAGGCAGAAAATTAGTGATCTAACTAGATGGTTTATCTCACCCAATAAGAACCAATGTTTTACTGTTAATAAAGCAAGACTTCCCCGGAGTGAAGGGGGTCCATCTTGATCGAATTCTGGGAACATATAGGTGATGATTTAAGCTGAAATAACGAATCATCTGGAAATCCAAAGGCAGAACAATTGATGAGAATTTTCACATCAAAAGCTCTCGCAAGTTGTCCTCAGAGCTAGTGTAGTAAGTCGTCAGTGAGAAAGTCCAATATAACAGTGGGAAATCCAGAGACAGAACAATTGGTTGGAATTTTCGCATCGAAAGCTCTCGCAAGTGGTCCTCAGAGTTATTGCAGAAAGTTGTCAGTTAGCAAGCCCAATATTACAGGTGGAATTGAAATGAAACAATGTGAGTCCTTGCGAAATGCCCAAAATCAATAAACTCATGTTTAATTGTTCTTGAGAATCAATGACAATGTGCAGCCGACGGAACTTCACATCACATGACCGCGTGATGTGGATTCCGTGAATGAGGCACGGGTAACATCATAAACGGGAGATTCAGCCGGGTGAGTCTCTCGAAAAGATAAATTTGCTTGCAAATGAGTGTAGTTCGCTAACACCATATCCTTCCTAAATTTGGGTTATCCACACTGCTTCTCAGCCAACCGTGGCCGAACGGTTAAGTGTTCAAACTACCAACTTTGAGATCGCATGTTCGAATGTGCCTATAGTTGTCAGATGTGCATTGCTGGTTATTCTGCATTAGGATAAAACAGCTGTAAAACTGCTCCTCGGCTTTTCAGCATAGTTTGGCTTCAATTACAGGATGGAATCTCAACTGACGTTCCCTGGATCTCCGTACACTCCCAGAAGCTTATTGCTCTAGAACGGTTTCATTCTCTACATCTCATATCTCCGGAAAAAGCACAGTCAACTGTAAACTATTCAAGGATTTTGCTGCAAATCTTTGTCAAATAAGTAGCTAATCGATCATCTTGAACACCAATTCGGCGCCTGGCTATAATGCCGCCCGAAGGAAACACGAGAGCTGATATACTGCCAAGCTAAGACAGCAGAATTTGGTATGCCTGGTCAGAATTCGAACCACGGATCTCGCGGTCAGTAACTTTGCTCCGTTACCAAGGAGCTGTCTCAAACTCTACGGAGCTGTGCTTGATCTCGGTCTGCACGATTCACAAATCTCGATATCCTTTTTAGTAAAAATGACAGCTGCCGTCTAGAACAAGGGCACTTTGAGCAAACGGTCTACGCGAAGACCTCTCTTCAGGCAACACCTTCAGTTGAGACCAACATTAAGCTAGCGAATGAGAACGAATGAGTATGAGATCATAAGTATTTCAAGGAAGAATGGGTTGGCACAGAACCAAGGCCATATCGCATACCTCCTGCTAGGGGGTAGTGCATTTTAGTAGTATAGGCTGTTTCAGACAATTATTATGAATTTCAAGTACAAAAAAGTGCTGACAGTAATACTACTAACAAAAACCTCCCAAGATTCCAATGACCAATCTGATGCATGCTTTTTCAGTGGCCAGGCATCACACTCTGTCATCCAAACTGGGCACATGTGGGCAACCTTTCTTTTCCAGGTAGGGTGGAAACGATCGTAATTCCTCGAGTGCTCGCCAACCGTGAACTTTTCGAACGTCTGAACACTACTGGATAAAGCCAGGTCAACCGTCCTGAACCACTCGCTGTCTTGATTGCAACTGAACTAAAACGACACAGAATCGATGCTGTGGCCAACAATTAGATATGGTTTTCAGACTAAGGAGGCCTTCGAAATCCTGGATATGGGCATACATCCCACTGGATCGCCTACCCGACAGGACGGAAAAGGGGTCGTGGTTTCAGCTTTGTCCTGTCTGACAGCAGCAAGAAAGCGATTGACCCAGATGCTCCCAGATTTAATTTACATCTTGCTATACGACGTCCAGTATTCATCGGTGTGAACTACACTACTGTGGTGGTGGGTGGACACGATCCAACCGTATGCTTCACAGGACAATTTCTACGTCGACTTTGACGCTTCACTCCGATAGGTTCCTCTTACTGTGAGACATTGGTGCACGTGTAAGCGGACCTCGTTGGAGGTCAACGTGATACTTTTTACCGGTATGCACGGCTGTGTAACGATCACTCTGATCAAAGCGAATTTGAACAAGTGAATTCACAGGGACACTCATAAACTAAAGTAATAACCCCAAAGCCAGCTAATGACTGACAAAATCGATAATTATGACACTATCTAGCGCCTCACACTGTATTTATGGCATTCATGACGATTATCATATATCTGTCGAAGACTTAGTTGTCAGTCCACTGAAGGAAAGCTTGCTTATGCTGTCACCTTACGAACAATGCCCATGAAGATAACACTTGAGTGGTAGACCTGGTCAAGAGTATGGGAGAGTTCGAAGGCGATTCAACATCTTGAAGATATCGCGTCCCTGATGCTTTATCCCATTTGGAAGGTATTCCACTGTAGCATGTTCTTTGTCATCATCAATCTCGGGAGTTACATCGGTATACGCCATCACCATCTAGCAGTTTCCTTCATGAAAACCTCAGCTTTTCTTTTGTGAGTCGTGTCTGCAATTGGTGCTTTCCAAAATACAAAATTGATACCTGCCGTTGTGTCCGAATCAATCTTCCCCCACAGTTGGTTTCACATCGCTAGTAACATTATACGTCACCCGCGAGTTGTTTACAGTCAGGACTAGGTCCATCCACTCCTTTAACACACGTAAACTGTACTGATAATCCGCCGTAAGCGCCAAACATCAAATCGGCTCATGGCTGTGGTGAAGATAGCTCTTCCACAATGGATCTGTGAACGAGTCTTTTGCGAAGGAGCGAATCTTCTAAGGCTATCTCGAAACCAGATCACTAGAACATTACGAGAGAGAAAAAGGGCGAAGAAGCAGGTTATAAGAAACTGCTTTATCCATATGTGTCCCGTGGGATTTTACAGACTATGGTGTCCAAAATATCATGAGTTTTCAGATGAGATTTTGTCCCGTTAGTGAAGACAATCTATGCCGAAAAACCGAAAAGCACTGCTTCATCCTTATTGGAAATCATCAACATCTGACTAACCTGAAGGCAGAATCAAACTGAGAAGTCCTGCACGGCTGTGTGTGTAACGATCTGATCAAAGCGAATTTGAACAAGTGAATTCACAGGGACACTCATAAACTAAAGTAATAACCCCAAAGCCAGCTAATGACTGACAAAATCGATAATTATGACACTATCTAGCGCCTCACACTGTATTTATGGCATTCATGACGATTATCATATATCTGTCGAAGACTTAGTTGTCAGTCCACTGAAGGAAAGCTTGCTTATGCTGTCACCTTACGAACAATGCCCATGAAGATAACACTTGAGTGGTAGACCTGGTCAAGAGTATGGGAGAGTTCGAAGGCGATTCAACATCTTGAAGATATCGCGTCCCTGATGCTTTATCCCATTTGGAAGGTATTCCACTGTAGCATGTTCTTTGTCATCATCAATCTCGGGAGTTACATCGGTATACGCCATCACCATCTAGCAGTTTCCTTCATGAAAACCTCAGCTTTTCTTTTGTGAGTCGTGTCTGCAATTGGTGCTTTCCAAAATACAAAATTGATACCTGCCGTTGTGTCCGAATCAATCTTCCCCCACAGTTGGTTTCACATCGCTAGTAACATTATACGTCACCCGCGAGTTGTTTACAGTCAGGACTAGGTCCATCCACTCCTTTAACACACGTAAACTGTACTGATAATCCGCCGTAAGCGCCAAACATCAAATCGGCTCATGGCTGTGGTGAAGATAGCTCTTCCACAATGGATCTGTGGACGAGTCTTTTGCGAAGGAGCGAATCTTCTAAGGCTATCTCGAAACCAGATCACTAGAACATTACGAGAGAGAAAAAGGGCGAAGAAGCAGGTTATAAGAAACTGCTTTATCCATATGTGTCCCGTGGGATTTTACAGACTATGGTGTCCAAAATATCATGAGTTTTCAGATGAGATTTTGTCCCGTTAGTGAAGACAATCTATGCCGAAAAACCGAAAAGCACTGCTTCATCCTTATTGGAAATCATCAACATCTGACTAACCTGAAGGCAGAATCAAACTGAGAAGTCCTCATTTAGAAGACAACCGTTCGGCCACCAACGGCTGATTGATTAACGCGAACTTGGACAGGATGTAAGGTCACTCATTCTTCACTCGTGCTATCACGTGTTGACTTCATCCTCGAGTGAGGACTCCTCAGGTGGGGCGATTCCTATGACTCATTCTGGTGTTTACTGTGAATTGGAACTATCCATAAATAGGAATAGGGGTTAAACGCCTTTTGTTTTAAGCTACAGTTAAACCACCATTTGTGGCGATCCTGGTGTCCATATTCCGGAGAGCTATAAACTACCCGATTAGTTTTTTCATAAAGGAAACTACTCATAAGGTTGCTGAAAACTCTTCGACAGCCCGATTATTTCCTTCAAACAACTTTATATTAGGGGTTCTACCGTTAAGTCGTCAGGTGACGCACATTAGGTGATCAATGGGCTCATAATTTATGTATTGATAGTAAAGTAATCCACGATAAAAACGAACGGCCAAGTGATAAACGAAACCCCGTGAGCTTCCGGAATAGCGGTAAACCCAAAAAAGCCAAATTGATTTTGCAGCAACGTGTGTATCATTGTCTACATAAGAAAGAGAAAAGGTGAAGGTCACATGCGTAGCACTGAGTTAAAAATGCGTCACTCACAAAGCGCACTTAATATCAAGTTGAGCACATGGATATGGGAACCGATTGAAAAGTAATGGAGATCACAAATAAGGTGTACAAGAACAAGTGGGATACACCCCCAGTGCTCCTAGTTCCTTCTTATTGGAGAGTGAGGAAAAGAAAACCCATCTACTGTTAGAGGAGAGTCGCGGAAGGGGAGAAACAGGGTAAGTGGCCAAATGCCCAGAAACTGCTTCACATTCTCCCTTAGTCCAAGGTCGTACACATTCGTTGTGGTGTCCACCAGAGCGACGTGTTCCTCACATGTGCTTGGGGTTGAATTTACAGCCAATGATTTGTCGCGACCCCTCCGATCTGACATGGTCTCATTACGGAACATAAGCTTGGTACAGTAGATAAATGTGACCGACAGGACAAGTGCGAATACGAAACAAGTACAAGTGAGCATGAATACAGCGGTCTGTAACAGTGTTACTAACCCGAATATCCACAGAAGGCCAGGAGGTAGGATGATACAGACGATGCGAAATAGGATGGACCAGTCGGGGGGAAGAAAATAGTCACCAAAAACAAAACGGAGATTAAGATAGGTTGACAGTGACAACCCCACCGCACCGTAGAAAACCAAGGACAAGAAGAATCGCCAGTTGGCCAGACCGACACATTGACCTGCCAGAATGGAGAGGTGAAACGAACAGTCTGGTAAGTTGGACTGACGTCGAACAGATGGCACAAAATCACTCGGAATAGGAAAAGAAACCCCATCATCAGCAAAACGAGAAGAATCCCCACCAGGAGAGATCCGTGATGCTTGCTGTGGTAAGTTTCGCTATCACCAAGATTAGTTTCCAAAAGTCTTAGTTTGTGTTTGACACAAGAAAACTTCGCGCTTTCACAGGGGTTCTAGTTGACCATCCAAAGTGTATTCGTGAAGAAATGAATTATCCGAAGGGGGGAATATGGATTACTTGAGCGAGATGGCCCAAGTGATTAGAGCGCAAATTCACTGATCGGAAGGTTCGTGGTTCGAACCCGACCTCCGTCTCTCGACTTCCCCTGTCTAGGCTTGGGCAACCTGGCAGTATCCCAGCCCTCAACCTTCAGGTTGCATGGCAGCTAAGCACCGAAGGGGTTTTACAGCTGAACAATTTTAATTTTTTTAAAATTTAACTCCCAAGAAAACTGTAACAAGCTACCAGGCCCTTAGTGACGGAAAAAGACTCACCGACAAAGAACAGAGCAGACTTACTGCGAACAAGCGAGTGCGAAAGTTACACGAAGCATTTTTGGCTTTTATCCAGGCTGTCTGACCGGCGTTGGGTGAACACCGATCATCGTCGACCGTTTTGCTGAATCGACTGACTGCTTGAGCGTTCAATCAGCAGTCGGCTTAGCAATGTTGTAGTTAGCAATGTTGGAGGTAGCTCGGGTGCGCTGTTTGGTTGTTGGTCTGTTCGCCGAGCTCGGCAGTTGGATTGCAAACGTTTCATCACCAATCGAGGTGACATCGTCAGTACAGGGTTGAGTGGGTTGAGTTGACCCACGGCAAACAGACCGACAACCAAGCAGTTGGCATTTTAGCCCGCATGCTTGACGGCTTCGCTACTGCAATTTTGGTGGGATTCGCAAGTCTCAGTAGGTTTCAGACAATTTTAGATTTGTTTTAGAAATCTGACCTTACTGACAAACCGGGTGTTTTTTTCAGTCAGGGAGACTACGCACAAGGTTACTGAAAACGCATCCACAGTCCATGATCGGTTTCGTTTTTTTGAGGCTTATCACAACGACGCAGCCCCCAAGTTTCCGATATTTTATGTTCTCCGAGTTGTACGGAGATCGAAAACTGCGCTGGTATGCACATCAATTCGGTTTTCACAGGAGAGTTAACTGGATCCTAGCTGAACTGGATGTGTTGCACAAAGACCACCTTATGTTTGAATCGTCAGGATATTCGAAGTCATCAACAGTGTACATCCTTGGCCCTTCAGGAACCAGATTTCTGACTTGCGGGGCTTTCGCCTCCAGCTGATCTTTCACGTCTGGACAGGTGGACGTCTTTTGTGACAGGACAGTCTTCTCCTCTAAGAGAAGCAGAATGATACCTTCTCATTCAGAAAGCGATTGCATCCTTCAGCAACTAGTTCAAGCGTGCTGGAAGTGGACAGCGGTGTTGTGTGAATAACCCAGCATCCTTTTGCGCCGACCCACATGGATCTGACCCAGGGGGCCTCAAAAGTGCCGCTGCATCAAACACTGGGTCAACGATTTTCAAATCTATTTATAAATGATGGGTTCAGCCTTTAAATCAGTAAATTGGAGTTTCAGTTGTCGTGTGACACCCGATCAAAGGTATTCGACACATCCCTGTGAACAGGTATCCATCCTGAAGGAAGTCCAGGGCAAATCCACAGACGCGAGAAACCACTGCCAACCAGTTACCAAGGTTGCCTAAGGTCAAATCGATGGCCACCCGCGAAGGGTTGTATTTTTTATGTCATGGGGGGATAATCATTCAGGTGTAGCTCCCTTTCAGTGCCTAGCTGCCATGTAGCCCAAAGGAAGCACGAGGGCTGGGTTACTTCTAGGCTGCCCGAGCCTAGACAGGGGAAGTCGAGTAGCAGAGGTCGGGCTCGAACCACGAACCTTCCGGTCCGGCGCCCGTTGCAGAAAATTCTTTGGGGATGATCGCGTCCTGAACTGGGAGTGTTAGGAACAGGGCGATCGTTGTTTGGGTGATATTTAGCTGGACAAGAAATAACATTCGAACATGGCGAATTCCGGAGCAAACGTTCCGTACAAAACGGGGGAGTATGGTGACCCAGAGACATTCGAAGTTAAAAGGCCATCACAGAAGTCCTCAGTATTCATTACCGTAGGTTGCATGAAGTAGTTGGAATTTTGGGATAAAAATATGTAGCAAAAGGCCTAGCAACTATATCGACAATTTTCTACAGAGGGGGAAAAGAAGAAAAGTAGATGCTCTGGTGAACTGCAGGACTGACTTTGAGAGGTCTGATAGATAGTTGATCAATCTCGCGACTTGCGTAGATATGATTTACACTGTCGGTATTTTTAGTGTGTGCGTGTGTGTAAAAAGGAATAGATGAATCGGAAAGTGCAAGATTTGATCTTCATTCTGGTCGCACAACAAGATGAGCAAACCGCCGTGAGGATGAACACTCTCCAAGTTTACAAAATGGAATATAAATTAGGATAGTTCACTGCTAATATCGGGGAAAAACACAAAATCATAAGATCTATAATTCGAGTGTATGAACCCTGTTGGGTTGTTCCCTGACATCTCTGCAGGCGAGAAGAACAGGGTCAAAAAATCTGGCGAGATGGAGTCACGAACTGCGACTGGTGTAGCATAGGCGGAGACGAATGGGGGGTTAAAACGGGATGAAGTTGCTGTTGGGAGTTACCTTCAAGTACCGAGATTTCGGGTAGCGGAGAGAAAACTTTGAGTGAGAATATTCTGGTTGCAAAAAGACATCTAGTCCATGATAAGCGATTACGGTACACGACAATCACATTGCCCCGTCAGGTTGTCGAATACTGAAGTTTAGGACAGCACAAAGACCAAAAATGTCAGATGCCACACTTCTGCGCTTAGCTTTACAGGCACACAGGAAAAGATGTTTCACAACTTGGAGCCAGAAAATCGAAAACCTGGCAGTAGACAAACGAGCGAATTAATCGATAAACAATAAAAGAAAGCATGACTGAGGGTGTAGATGGAATCTATCTAGTAAAGGCGACTACGAAGTTAGGAACGAAGAGGATCACGTCATTAGT